TGAGATGGCGAAAATTGGTAAACTAGTATACAGTAATATTGACAATATTAAAATCCGGAAATATGGTGTTTTAGACAAAAGGAGTATGTAGGATTTGTCATCATTAGGAACGTAGTTCACTAAAGGCACGGTTACCATAGTTATACATGTGGTATCGAAACTAGTGGTGTCATGTAGGCGGTGGATGGATCATCTACAATATCAAACATCCCATGGGTTATTCCGAAAATTATGCAATAACTGAATGAGAGAAACAAATCTAACAACTAGTGAGCACTACTAAGAACAGCTGTCGTTTTTCAGTGCACAAGGAAAAGTAACATGTGAGCAGTGAAATACGGTCAGAAAATTAAGCTGGTATACAAATGAGCACAGTTGAATGTTTAATGGTTATCTGCCTCCATACTCCAGTTCGGGAAGTTAATAGACGTAATTAACTGATGTACTTTTGCACGTTTATACGACCAAACAATATACTTTCTACTAGACTTCTTGGTATTCATTTCGTTTTTCCTATTCACTTACATTGAAATGAACACCCTGAGCTTTGCTGATCAGATCATGAAAGACTCGCAATGACTTCAAAATATGTAGAAGAGCTTTGATGGAGACCAGACTGGCATGTAACGTTTGTACTTTTATTAAACTGTCATCAACTGACTACACGTCAGACAGGTGTGAAATGACTCGTATTGGAATCACATGATCAACATGTATGCAAAGATCACAAGAAAGGATCGATAATAGGTCGTCAGTACAAATGGCATAGGGAAATCACACACTTGTAAATGTAACTGCATGAGTATCCTGGCTAGTGGAAAAATCAAATCGAGACACTGTTTATAGATAAAAATACTTTATGCAAATTGAAGACTATCACTGAATTCACTCGTCATCCTAGACCTGACAGAAGAAGCTGATCTTTTCGTTTATTCATGTTACATGCTGAGCTGATGATCCAGTTAGGATTGCAAATTGGGCATAACCGTATAACTTCCTAATGATAAATTAGCGATTAAAGTTTTATTTGTCATAGTGTTTGTTATAATTTCAAGGCGATGAATATCCCAATTGTCGACTGTTATCTTCACCACACAAGTTCAAGGAACTTTATTAACTTACTTAAAAGTCTAGCGCTTTTCATAAAACATGATTTTGCACATTTACTATTAGAAATACGATCGATGGTAGTATGTATATGCAATATTGTAAACGTGTTCTTTCATCGATACAAAATCCTTCGTTGAACACACCGTTCTTGTCAGTAATTTTATCTCATTTGATCCGTTGAGACTGTGTTCCGGACATGTATTTTGGCTGTCAGACGATGCAAAAATATGGCAGAAACTATAACTAACTTCGAAGTTTCCGGTTTGGGGTAAAATCCTAACTTCAGACACTTATTTATAAGGAAGAAAGTTTCCTTCCATAGATTAAGTTCAGCGAGATCCACCGGTCATTTTCCTTAACACAACTTGAGACGCATAAACCTTTCAATGGATGTAGCAGTTGTACCGAAATTTGGTCCAAGGATAATAATCAGTTATGCATTCCTACACATTAGGCAAAAACGATGCTAGACAATATTGATTGAATGAAACTATCAGATGGGAAATAACGAAACGGAATAGGTTTAATAGATAATATCATGCAACCCTAGAAAATATTGATCACAGTCATTTTTTCAGATGCAAAAAATATAGATCTCCTTGGTTACTATCACGATATTAGAAATATAATATAAAAGTAAATGATTCTCACACTTTTCGATACAACACCAACAATAAAATTATAGTCATCTAAATGAAGCCTTTTGATTTTTGCTGATACAAAGGTTACTGTTATGGTAGATATTTGTCTTGGTGATTATTTTTTTCATTGAATGAAAGATTACCGGTATATGCTGGTTTTTAAATTCGCTGAGATAATAGAAGTATAGAAGTGTTCACGTTGCTTTGCATAACAGCTTCCGGTCTACTTTAGTATGATAACGACTTTTGTTTGACTGGTTTCCATTTATATTTCTCCGGATACGCTTCTGCCGATAATCCAGTCAGGTCACACTTTTTGAATTTTTTGCTAATTGAAGAGCAGAACATCTTTGGTTCTGTCGAAACGAAAAGCGAATCAGCCGATTTCACCCTTTCAATTCAACTATCAGAACAATATTGACTTATGTCATTTCACTTATTCTGCTTATTATGGTTTTATACCTAGTCAAGTGACGTAAGTCAAGTCAAAAACCGCTTTATTCATCCAAGGGTTGGATTATCAACTTTTTGCATACCAGGGGCATTTAGCATCGCATACAGTCACAAAGATAGAGTGAAACAGCACCGTCATTTCAAAGGAATGAAGAGTAAAGTTTTGAAAATTGTTATCAATTGCGTAGGAAATACAAAACGTTTTCTCTAATGGATGGCTTTTGAGCTAGAAATCTCGAAAGTTAGGGGATGACGGACAAACGATATGCAGTGGTACGAGCATACACAAGTTCATAACGACATCCAATTATATAAGTGAATACACATTGTTTAGTTTCTATGTGTAATGGGTCAGTGATGTCTGATATAATATTCTTTCAAGAGGTAAAATGTTGTTGGCGATAAAGTTAAGCAAGCGCAAATAGAGAATAATGCTGGGTGCGAAATAATTTTAATAGATCGGAGTATAATTATGTAATCCTTAACTCTAAGACCAGCAAAGAAAATTGGGGAGCACTAGAGAAGATGAGTAAAAAACAAGAATTGACAAACCGGTTGAGTCAAAAAAGTGGAACTTTAAAAAAACGCATTCGGGATATAAAGAAGTACAATAATCGACGCTTTTTAAAAGTCGAGTTCAAATGTGACGTCCAGGTGAGATCTTGGGAGATAGTGACACCGAGGTGTTGGAGAGAGTTTACTAGGGGAACAGGCTGGCTGTCAACATAGAGTCATCGTATCGTCATTATCAAGATTAGTTGGTTACTATCCTTCACAAATCATCCTCAAATCTAGTGCATTTCCGATCCGCAGCTACAGAATTATAAATGAAGCCAGTCACCCATCAGGATCATCAAACTTAATTTCCAATAATTGGACACATTCTATGCACAATGGCAACAACAGATGGAGCAGGGATCTCGCGACATTGCGATTAACTTGAGATGGTTGGGTATCTATGAGATGTGAGTCTCTCGCACAGCGAAAATGTAGTGCTCATTTGCTTCTCATGCATCTTTCTTTAATGAGCATTTCAAGCTTTGGGCTTATTCAGCTACCCAGACACCATTTCACTTTTGGTGATTGTTGTAGTCTGCGGAGAATATTGTGGTGATAACCTAGATTAACAAACAAAACTGATTATAATTCACATGGCAGGTCACATTAAGGGACACGTATCCGGAAATCGTCATTTCCAGAGTAACTGGAAACTTACGTAATATCCTGAAATGCCTTACCACGCAACTGCACTACTCTAGCAATTATGAAGGCAACGGGGACAACATGATGACAATATGAATTTGGGAGAACTCTATTGCAGCTCATGACTGCTTTGTAACCTTTAGGAATGAGGGATTTCCACGAAAATTCATCAGCAAACATAGGGGTTTTTATAATCCTCATTAAAATGATCCAGCCAGCGGAATCCTCGAATTATAAAACTACCGAATTTAGCACTCGTTTAATCAGTGATTTGGGTAACTGCATTGCATTGATGCATATCGTATGAAATAGATGCCTGCACATTTTTGGTGCAATTGCAATTTTCACTGTTCACATTGGTCCGTCTATCTGTCTGTCACACAAATAAACGAATATGCTCTGTGGTCAGTGTACATACTTGACGGAAGTTCGATAAATATTAACTGGTGGCATATCGTTCGTGTCTGGATCACGTCTAATTCCCCAGTCGCCTACATGCCTTTAGAACCGAGTTCACATTTTTTCTGATAATAGGGTAATAATATCAATTATCCCACAACACTACTCACAAGTAACTGTGTGTCAAATGCAAAAGTAATAAGTAACAGGATGATAGTTTTCTTTATTGGTCAGTGAGCTGTGATCAAGGTAAAGAACTGATTAATTGTGAACAAGTTGATCAACGTTATCTGCGGGATTTTACAGAATAAACGCCACAGAAAATACAAAAGAGGTGTTCTATTCTTCAACTACAGATGCAATAGCGTGTAAGATATAAATCTGGTTTGAAGTTTGACTGAGAAGATAGTTTTGTCGATGACGTATAATAGCCATTTGTGCACAA